TATAACCCTAACCTCTTAAATCACCAATATCTTGTTCAATTATTTTAAAATTATATAATAATTCACCCAACAGTTCTTGACATGAAGTGTCATTAAAGGATGCTAAAATGGAAAAAAAAAATCTCTTTTACTTTAATTAGGCTTACTGAGATATCTAAATAATTAAGTTTTAAATACTTTTAAAAATAAATATCGAACTAACCTAATGTTTACATTTTAATTAAAGACTAGTATATTTAATAGTTTGACAGTTGAATTGGCTTGGTTGACTGCATTTGAATTTTGTTTTGTTTGTAATTTTTTATGAACTATATGCAATATAATTTTTTTGGAGGCCCTCATAAAAGTGGGGTCTTAGACGATCGTCTACCCCATTTATAGTCAAGACCACCATTGGTTGGAAAGTAATTTAATTTACTTGGTAGCTATAATATGTCCTTGATCTTGTAAAGTTCCTTGGAGGTGGCGTCCATCTTGACATGGATGTTTTAACAGTCCCTCTCAAATGGATATTGTGGTTAGTCATGTCTACTGCCGGGGTTGGACCAAAAAGTTTTTTAGTGTGGACAACATTAACAAAGGTACAAAAAAACTTTATAACTCAAACATTATACTAAAAATGAAATACCTTGTTCTTTACGAGTTTTCATACTTTGATATCTTTGTAAAACACTTCATTGGAGTCCTTAATCCAGGACCGGTTGGAAGTGTGCAAAATCAAAATCATGTCTATTTGACATCTCTTGATTCTCTCATCAATATTTCTTACATTTTCATCTAGAAACATCACAATCACAAAATTCTACTTTATTTACCCCCCAGAAAAACTGAAAATTCAAGAAAATCTTGAAGAAAAAGAAAAAAAGTACATTCTGGATTGCACACCAACACGCTTATGGGATTTCTTCCAAAAATCTGATAACCGTTTGCTTCCTTCCATTTCTCATTGTGCACAAACTCACATACAAAATTGGGTCATCTTCAAATTTTCGAGTTGACACTGTTAGGTCAGTAGCAAAAGCAGGAGGGAGGGAGGGGGAGAGGGAGAGAGAGAGAGAGAGAGAGAGAGAGAGATGACTTCACTTTCCTGCGCGGCCTCTGTAGCCACTGTTCCATCACAAAGCAGTAGAATGTTGTTTAGTGCATTTGGTGCTTCAAACTTTTCACAACCGTGACACAATCACGGTGGCTATCCATGCTCTCTATTCCACTTATTTGATTTCATCTTATGCATGATAACTGTTTGTATAGATGCTTGCCTTCTTTCTTTTATTTGAGAGTTGCAAATGATGAAAATAAGGGATTTAACAAGGGAAAACTAGCAGTGTGCCCCAAGATTCAATGCTGACATCTGACTACGCTGAGCCTAAATTGGGTCCGTCCCTATCCACCGTGAAGGTAACTAGATGGGGATTCATCCATGAATTCCTAGCATCATTTCTCCAAGTTGGTGGTAGAAAGCCCTTAATTTTATTCCCACATTTGTTTTTGAAGATATTTGTACTACTTTTATTGATTTGTATTTTGATTAATGCTTGATGTACCCTTTTTCTAAATTTATTAATAAAGAACGTTGGGATATACAATTAATAGGGTGCTATAGAGGTGTCTGTCTAGCAGAATGTTTGATGCACGTACTATTTTTTTTCTCCAACAACCTTGGAAAAAATATGTTACAACCAAAGTAGAATTCATGCATGTTGCATGGTCACAACTCAAATGATACAAGTACAGAATTTACAACACTCTGTATACCTTTTTGACCGTCAATCCTTCATTCTAGTTACATAGTTGCTCAAACAATGTGATAAAAACATAGAATATCGAACGTAAAAGAATTAAAATAATAATTCACGTAAGACTTCATTAATTATTATTTGATGCATTCATATCAAATAATGACTTCAGTTTAATTCGACCAAGATATTGAACAACTCGAAAAGTAATTAAATAAAAAGAGAGAAATGTTCTATTGCAATAGACATAAAAGAAAATAATATTTTCAATGTTAAAAAATTGTTCTTTAATATCTTACATTCCAAAGACTTCGTTTTTAGAAAATTATCATAGTTGATGTTGATCCCTAAACAAGGTAGGATCTAGCTTTCAAAATATCATGAGCACCTTCTTATCTACCTATTCATCACCTACTTGTCCACCTGTACAGCATTCTACCCGGCAGCTATTTGCCCTAAATGTTTGATCACATGCTTAAATTATGGGAAAATTGCAAACAAGGTACCAAACCTTTTATTTATTAGCAGATTTTTTCAAATCTTTCATTTATGCCATCGTGAATACCAAACTTTTAAAAGTTCATAGCTCAAGTCCAAATTGACGTTTTCTATTAGTGTGATCCTAGAAACCGTCAGTTAACTCCAAAAATTAAAAATTTAATAATTTGACCACATAAGACAAGGGTAAAGTGATAACTTTAAAATTTTAATATTAATTAATTAATTAATTAAACTAAAAAATGAAAAAATAAAATAACCTCTTTGTATCTATTTCTTCTCATCCCCACCTACCCAAAAATGGGGAAAACCAATCTTACCACACGTTGCCTGCCATTCACCGCTGGTAGTGCCACCACCGTCGGGCCATACTGCCATTCACTTCATCTTCACCTCTCTCAAACTCCCTCTTTTCTCTAGGCATCCCCATCGACCTTCTAACCCCCTTGAATCAAAAGCTGTTATTTCACAACAATTTCCTTTCATTACCAAATGGGAGCTATTATTCCAAATGGGAGCATACTACAACAGCAAGTTCAGAGTTGGAACCATATATTTGAATCTCGTTGCCACTCAATTTCCTCAAGTGGAGGTCGGATTTTAGAGGCACACTGGAAAATTGCGTCATTCTAGGAGCCTCCAATGTAAATTAGACTACAAAAGTATTGTACTTTCTTGTGCTTGTATTGTTAACGATGATAATAATGGTTGTTGGTCTTGGAACGGGTTCCACCCCAAAACATGTTGTTGACCACATCTTCAAGCTCATTGGATGTGGATTGAATTTAGTTAAATGGCGTGGAGGGTTGTTGTTGAGGGAGAAAATGGTAGATTGTATTGGTGGGGGTGGTTGTGGCAAACGACGATAGGTGATGATAATGGTGGATTGTATTGGTGGGATTGGGGGATGAGGGTTTAAAATGTCGAGTTTAGCCCACGATAATAGTGGATTTTGGCCATTAACAAAGACCGTCGATTTGGACTTAAGATGCAAATTTTTTAAAGGTTTAATACTCATGGTGGTACAAATGAAATGTTTAGACAAAGTATGCTATTAAACAAAAAGTTTGGTACATTCATTGCAATTTTCCCTTAAATTATAAAATATAAATTGACTAAGTACATGGGAGAAAATAAAAAAATAATTTAGCTAGGGGCTATAATACTTACCTCAATTAACTTGCGCACATTTATAGAGGAGATGGAACGTGCGGGTCAAGATGGGCAATAATCTGTTTTCCCTACCAATTATGAAACTCAAGCCAGGCTTAAGCCCATGAAAAGTTTGCCTTGACCTTTGATTGACATGGTATGATTTAGCCCATTTAAGTTGACACAATAGATGTCCAGTAAAAAAGGATGGTCAGAGTCCACCTAAATAAGGCAGGGCCGCATTTTGTCACGTTTGCACCTTGTGAAATATAAGAGGAACATATTGACTCTAGAGATAGGTGTCCAATTTAAAATTGGTGTTATTGAATGATAGGAAAATATTTTAGTTTGACAGCTTTCTCACAAACGTAAAGCCCATAATTGTAAAATATAAGAGGAATATGTTGACTCTAGAGATAGTTATCCAAATTAAAGTTGGTGTCATTAAATGATATGAAAATGCTTTAGTTTGACAGCCTTCTCACAAATGTGGGGTTTGCGATCATTTTATTGCGAGCCCCACCCCTACATCTGAGAGACCTGTCAACCATGCCATCAAATTTGTTATTTCTATAGCAAAATTATAAATGATAAGTTCATACGACTTCAAAAATAGAAGTAAAAGTTGGCTTATAATTATCCAATTTAAAACACTTGATTAATCACATAAATGTAACCAAATGATAAGTTCAGTTACATACTAAGGTACATGGATCATTTATTTAACTTACTATTAAATTGACTTGCTAACTTATATTAACATCAGTGGTACTATATCATATTATCCTTTAGTCAAGTAGATAAAATAATATTCACAATTATTATGAAAAGATTCATAATTTATTTATTTTGAACCATGAAAAGTAGTGAATCCCGATAATTATTAGCACGTTCAAAAATGATATTTAAATTATATAGTAAATAATGGAAACTCACGAGAGAACTTTTTTTTGTCAATCAATACCAAATTAGAAAACTATGTTTGTTTAATTTTAGAAGCAGCATATTTTTATAACACTTGGGCTAAGTAAACAGGGAAAATTATATTTAAATTATCTTTTTATAATATTGACATTTTAAGATGTTTAACTGACTACAGTTCTCATTTTAAAGAATACTAATCGAATTTCACTATTTATATTGTTAAATTACTTTGAAGTTGTTGTTAATTAAAAAATGAAATGTTTAATACTAAATTATTAGAAGCATCTCATAATAAGATCAAACTCTATAAACCATACTTATACATAAATGGTTATAAATTTAGATAGGTATGTTTAAAAACTAAAAATTACCTAAAGATAAATTCGACTTATTTAGAAATTTATATATTTTTTACTTTGTTGAAAAGGCTTAGCAACCACAAGAATATTGCTATTTGCATTTTATGATGTTGAAATAAAAGATGACAATAATTTTATTGATTGAATATTCTTTATTCCAATCAAATAAAAGTCTAAAATATAAATAAAGTGAAAAAATAATAATAATTCAGATAAACAAAAGTGATTATGTTGGTAAAAAGGGGATGAACATTTTAATTGGGATAGAAATTATTCTTAATTTTTATTAATTAAAACCAAGAAATTTAAAGCAATTCAATCAGCGGTGAGATTACTGTAATACTATAATGGATTGCATTCCATATTATGTTAATTAGATGCAAGTAATTGTATACATATAAAGATTAGTTTGTTTTGTTCTAAAGCAAGAACCCAGGAAAATCGAACAATTTTCTTCTTTAGAACTCTCAAAATCTCCTTCATTTTCAATCTTTTGGAATCTTTTTCTTTTTCTGCGTTAGCCTTCTCCATTTCACGCAGAGAGATAGAAAAAGGAAGCATCTTTCTTTTGTTTTTGTTTTTATTTTATTTTATATATATATTTTTTTTAATTTGAACAAGCGATCGGGTTTCAAGCTGCTGATCACAGTTTGAAAAGATTCTTTTTCTTTTTCTTTTTTCTTTTTTTTTTTTTGGGTTTTTAAAGCTTTTATTGATGAATGATCTTCCGGAATCAGTCGATGGCAGCGGAGCAGCGGTGGGGGAGAGGCCCGTATCATCTCCTTTAATGTCTCCGGCGAACCCGAGTACATCCGAAATTGGGCCGGAGCGATGGGAGAGAGCTGAGAAAACTGCCCATATGATAATCTGCAAGGTACAGCCGACTGCAATTTCTGAAGAAAGAAGAAGAGATGTAATTGAATATGTTCATAGCTTAATCAGGAACCGTCTTGGCGCTGAGGTAAAATCTTATATGTGTGCACGCGCGCGCATATTTAAGAGAAATTTTTACAGATATGGATTCAAATGCTAGTGTGAATTGTTTGCACATGTTTATGCTTGCACTGTTTATTTAGCTTTGCTGTGCTGCATTATATTTGATGAATTGTAAATTTTCTGTAGTTTTCTAGGTAGGTGTACAGCTTATGTTACTCTCTGTTTGAGCCTATTGCATAGGGGTAGTTTTTGAGGTAAATCTTCTGTTGGTTTGTTCTCTGCTCAAGAATGTTCTAAGACATAGAGGGTTAAAATGTGGCATGGTATCTAGTGGCAAAGAAGAAAACTGACAGGGTTATGTTGAGCGAATCTAGTATTTTGTTTTCTGGTTCGCATTTATGGGGAGTCTTTGATGCAGATTTTCTGTTGGATCATGGAGTATATGTTGATTTACAGCAGATGATACCTGCTGAAGAGTGTTCTTCAAAATGTGGAGGGTTAAAAAGTTATATGCTAACTAGTGGCAAAGGTTATGTCAAGCGAATCTATTATTTAATGTGCTTCTCATTTTGAATTTTTTTTGATCCCTTGGAAATGGGAATACGTGATTGTGTAAACTGGGGTAATTTTTCATGAGATTATGTCGATTTTCGTCAGAAGATAATTGTTGAAGAACGTTCTATGGCACGTGGAGGGTTAAAAAGTTGTAGGGTGACTAGAGGCAAAGATTCAAAGGGACCGGGTTATGATGAGTGAATCTATTTTTTTATTTTCTTATGGCCTTTGGTTTGCATTTATAGGTACCTTCCGAGATAGATTCTCTATTGGTTCATTTGTACATGTTGATTTACGACATAGAATACTTGCTGAGGAATTTTCTATACGTGGAGGGTTAAAGTGTTGTATATTAACTAGTTGAAAAGATACAAAGAGACGGGGTTATATCAAGTGAATCTAGTAGTATTTAATGTGCCCATTCATTTTTCCCCGTATCTTTTCTCCCCTGGAAATGGGAATATGTGATGTGTAGTTTAGGGAAAGACTTTCACGAGATTATGTCAATTTTCGACAGATGTACCTGCTAGAATAATTTTCTCTGACACGTGGAGTATTAACAAGTTGCAGGGTGACTAGTGGCAAAGATGCAAAAGGACGGATTATGTTGAGTGAATCTAGGATTTAGTTTTCTCGTGGTCTTTGGTTCACATTTATGAGTAGCTTTTGAGGTAGATTTTCCGTTGGTTCATTTGGTATATGTTGATTTATGACAAACAATACCTACTCAAGAATGTTCTATGATGTGTAAGGTTAAAAAGTTGCATGATAACTTACAAATTTGGACCGAATACCTCTTACCGTTGTGAGGATTCCACTGAATAGAAAATTTTAGTAGCTTTACATGGAAAATATATGTTTAAAGCCATATATGGCAAAGCTAATAAAGGAAAACTAATGTCTATCAATATGTACAATTCATGTAAATAAGATAAGAAAGATTTCTATAGAATATTTCAATTATAGAAGCCAATTAGAATATGCTAATTATAAATTTTGCAATCTGCCAATTATGGATCTTACAATCTGCAAATTATGGATCCTACAATTATTCAGCAATCTGTCAATTAGAATCTCCCAATTATTCTATAATCTGTCATTTTTTTTTTTTAATATTACAAATCCCATTGAGATCCCCGTCAAATGGAAGCGACTTGATCGAGAAGCATCAATTTGCCTACTAGAAACTGTTGTCATAGTTGAGTTAAAGCTTTGGTGAAGACATTAGTAATCTAAAGGTCCGTAGAGATATGAGGAAGAGTAAGTATTTTCTCGAATATAATGACAATCAACATCGTTATGCTTGGTGCGTTCATGGAAGATCGAATTGACAACAATCTAGATAGCATTGATCAAGCTCCCCCAACAACCCATAAAGCCAAACAATCTCGGAAGAAGCAGGGAATATGAAACGATACTTGGACTTAGAGACCCAAGTTTGTTTCTACTTTTTCACAACAAGTGCATTACCAAGAAATTTGATCTTTATTACTCAGAAAATCATGGTTAAATAAATATTGTAAAATTAATTAACTGATGGGCTAATTGCATGTGCTAGACCTCACTCTGATTGCTTACATTATTACAAGCCAAAGATAAAATGCTAGGAATAAAAAACTGAACAGGAAACAACCTTCCCACTTCAGGCCCTTCATGATCACCTTCCCGACACCTGATTCTGCACAAAACAATCACTCAGAGAGAAGGAAATGTTACAATTATTGTCCACTAGCTGTCCAAATGAAATCAAGTGAGCAGATAACCTATGAGAAACAAACATTCCGGAAAACCCTAAGGGGTAGCTCAGTGGTTAGGCTTTGGATTTGTTCCCCTATAGTCACCAATTTGAGTCCATTCAGGGCCACTGAGGTGAGTATCTAACTGTAAATTTCAGAGCCCCATGAGATTAGTCGAAGTGCGCGTAAGTTGGTCCGGACATTCACGGTCATTAAAAAAAATAAATAAATAAAAAATAATAAAATAATAAAATAATTCTGGAAGGATGGGTTAATATCGCCAATTGCATTAATGGGTAGTTGATTCCCATTTGCAATTTGAATGTATTGAGGACCATTACAACTCTGAACATTAAGCAATGATTCACTGACCAGTCATGTGATTACAAGCTCTTGAATCAACAAACTAAGGACATGAGTCTGTCCTACCATTACCTTAAAGGCCAAATGCTGAAAGGGCTGAGATGATCATCTGTTGGAGAGTGAGAACAGCTTGACTAGGACTACCTGTGGAGCTAGTCGGAGCTATAATAGGTGAAGAATGTGCTTGTCGATTTTGAGGATGAATCCAACATTCTTTGATGATATGCCCCGATTTCTTGCAATAATTACAATATGGTTTTGTGCAATTGGTAGCAATATGGCCAAATTTCTTGCAACTGTAGCACTGGTTTGACCTTCTCCTCTTCCTCTTCCCTAGGCTACATAGGAGACATTCACTATCTCAGAATGTAGCTTCCCTCGTATCATTCTTGCTTGAGTAGCTAATCTCTGTTCTTCCCATAGCAACTCTCCAAGGCGAACATCCAATGTAAAAACTGAATTTCCATTTAATAACCTAGTCCCCTGTAGCCTCATATTCAGCCCTTAATTTCATTGGAAATTGATTGCATCTACTCTCCTCATGGACTATTTGAAGTGAGGACAGCGCCTCTTCAGGTACCTTGTTTCCAAATATTTGCTCCACAAGTTCTAGAAACTGGAATAATATTGTTCAATAGAAAGATTACCTTGACTGAATTTTCTCTCCAATTTCAAACGAAAACAGAGTGCATTGTTGTCTTGACTATGTATCCGACCCAGATTTTCTCACATCTCTTTAGCAGTAGAAAAAGACCTCTAAGTTGTTCACCTATGTGGTTCTATGAATCCCAAAACCCAGAGACAATGTGTGCATTCTTTGTTTTCCACGTACCGAGTTCCTCGGTGTCATTGGGAGCTGAAGACTTCCCATCAATATGTCCCCACCACTCATTTCCCTTCACAAACATCTTAAACTGAAACTCCCAACTAAGATAGTTCTTGCCATTGAAACGAAAAATAGAATTTTCTTCCAACTTTATGAAAATAGAAATAGCTAAAAAAAAAACACTGTCAAAGAGCCTGAAAAGCTGAAAACAAACCTCCAAATATATGAGAAGTACTTGTACATAAGTTTTGATCTATATTCTATAGTAATTTATATTTACCAATGAAAAAAAATTCTGGTAGCTTTACGTGGAACGTATATATTCACAGCCATATATGGTAAAGATAATAAAGGAAAACCAATCTCTGTCAATATGTACAATTGATTTAAATAAGGTAAGAAAGATTTCAATAGAATCTGCCAATTATAGAAACCAATTGAATATGCTAATTATGGATCCTACAATCTGCCAATTATGGATCCTGCAATTATTTTGCATTCTATCAATTACAATCTACTAATTATTATGTAATCTACCAATTATTGATTCTACAGATCCCATTGACAATAACTAGTGGCAAACATGCAAAGAAACAGGATTATGTTGAGTGAATTTAGTAGTACTTAGGACCCATTTGGTAGTATTTTTGCTTTTGCAAGATGCTTTTTATAGAATAACTTCCTGAGGATGAGAATGTGTGAATGTGTAAATTAGAGCAAAATATCATGAGATTATGTTGATTTATTATGATGGGTACCCGCTGAAGAATGTTATACGACAAATGGAGGGCTAAAAAGATGCAAAAGGACAGGGTTACTCGTTCATTTTGTCTTTGGCTGGATATGGGAATCTGTGATTGTATAAATCAGGGAAAAATGGTCATGAGATAAATTAATGCAGTATTTGCCTTTTGTTTGTCTGATAATTAAGTACGCTTTATTGTCCATGTAGCTTTACCAAGTATAGTTGGTGGATCAACTCTTTTACGTGTCAGAACTAATGTCAAAATCCCTGAATGTTTAATAATCTGGGAAGGATATTCTTTGTCAATATTAGGGAAGAAAACACTCTGGTCTCTATGTCCAACTTCCATTGGGTAACAGAAATTTGTCAGTACATAATTTATTTTGGTCAGCTGAACTTATATAACTATCTTTCTGTTCCTTCTACCGATAACGTTTCTGTGACATATTGTCAGAGAAGTTGGCATAGTAGAGTACTATTGCTATATGTTTGAATAGGGGATCGATGTATTTTTAGTAGTTATAATGTAATCACGCTTCTTATCGGATCTGCTCAATTATGTTGGTTTAATTTTTCCTGCCCTATACTAAATAAATAAGAATGTGAGATTTATGGCTCTCTAATTTTGAAGTTCCTGATATACTGATCTACATTCAGCTGCATCTGATCCATTAATAAGAACATTATTGTAGTCAAATATATTAAAATTTTAGTATCTAATATGTACACAAAAGACAAAACAGTACACATGTATATATATTTACTCTATTTATCCCCTACTCTTTAAGTTTCTTTCTTGGAATAGTCGATCAAATTAGAGAAAGTACCTCTCTTAATCACAAGCTTGTTAATATTTTTCCAAAGATGACTTTATGTTTATTTGTTTTTAAGGCTCATTAATAAATTATATTCACCTTTTTGTGTTTTCGAACCTTTTATATTTTTGCAGGTATTCCCTTATGGTTCCGTACCATTAAAGACATATCTCCCTGATGGAGATATTGATTTGACTGCCTTTGGTGCTAATGTCGAAGATAGGTTGGCCGAGGATATGAAATTTATACTTGAAGAAGAAGAAAATAATAGGTCGTCAGAGTTTTTAATTAAGGATGTGCAGCTCATTTCTGCTGAGGTTTGTATCTCTCTAATCTGCTTTTTCCCATACACTTTTATGTTGGTGTAAAGGTTTCAGGCTGTAGTCAGCATGCTACCATTAGTTCACTGATAATGTACTATGTGCTTGCCCTTGAAATCCTATCTTTATTTTACATAAATCAATTTGGCTTTACCGGATCTGGTAAGTCAACCCATGTGCGATTCCCATCTTACCATCTAGCCCTTGAGTATAAGAAGCATTTAAAAAAGTACACACTTAATATCCTTTTCAAAGTCTCTTTCTTGTTTATGTGCTCATCTGTTTTTCTGTCAATCTTTATTTTTATTCTGCTTTTCTTAAATTCATTGGCATGGGTTGTGGGAATATTTCTTTTTGCATTCACATGTATGCATGTACTTGTCTGTGTTGTGTTAAATTCTATTACGCTGAATTTGAATGCTATGTAGTTGTATTACGATTTGAGAGTACTTCTTTTTCTATTCTATTAAAGATTACAACTTGCTCCCTTTGTGAAGATGATATAGAATTGGTTCTTGATGCTTATCTCTTGAGCGTCTCCTTGGGCTAATGGTGTAAGGAGTTGCATTGATATTGGCATTCAAACTTGTGTTTAAATGAGTATGCTTTGATTCTTGTTCCATAGCATCTAGATGGGGTTCTCTACTTATACAACTGATCTACTAAACGGTGTCTAGGGATGACTTATTTGCTTTAAATAGAAAAGATAACAAATTTTGAAATCGGTTGCGTTACTTCATTGTATTTTGGAGTGAAAGATCTTCACATAATTATTATTGACCTAGAAGATCAAATAATAAAGAGTTTCCAAATATATATTATGTTGGATTTAGACTGCAGACGAGTCAAAAGTATGTACATTGATTTTATCAAGGATATGAACAGGAGGACTATGTTCACGGAGGGAGTCTCTTTTGTGTTTCCAATTACCCTACGTTCTCCCAAGGGTCAGGTTTATTTCCAAATATATTTGTTTTAACTATGGATGGATTGGCTAATGACATAAAGAATGGGGTCCAATGTGTATTCTTTATGTTGCTGATATTATGTTGATGGATGAGATTGAAAAGGTATTCATTTTTAAATAAGGTGTTCAAGTTGATGATGTTCCTATAAGTTGAAAATTGTAAGCTCATGCTCAATGTTTTGTGGCGAAGGAGAAATACAAGATGCTGCTCATGGGATTAAGGATGGAAGGATTAGATGAGGAGTATATTTGGGTTTCGATGTCATCCACAAATTCCAATTAAGAGTAAAGGAGGGGCATTTATACAATTGTTAGTAGCTGAGTTTGTCTTTTCAAATGAAATTATGTTCAAGTAAGCACAAATACGTCATGGTTATAGGAGTCTATCCATTGCGTGTAGGCTTGGAATATTAAATATAATTTTTCATAGGAAAAGAGAAGAAATAAAGTAAGAAAGGATTATATTTTATGATTTAATTAAGGAAGCAACCATAGAAGATCAATTTTGGTAGAACACATAAGATGGTTTGACACTTTCAGAGAAGTTTGTTGGGTCCTATTAAAAAGGTTTGAATCTTGGTTATTTGAGTTTAGAGATGGTCTTGATGGAGCAAAAATTAAAGATGATTCATTTGGTCAACCAAGATAGAAATATGATAATAATTCATTTAAGTTGAAAAGCAATTTATAGTTTCTTATTGAGGTACTGTGCTATCATTATAATTAAATGAGCTTCTTTGAACCTTAAATGAATATAACTTTGACCATTGCAATCTAAGGACAACAGATTAAGATAGTAAATGTATTGACCAAGAGCCTTAAGCCTGGCACTTTCCTTTCTAAAATTGTGGCAACCTTGATTCATTTGTCAACTTCTTTTAACATCTCATATTGGATGTCTTTGGTGAAAGTGATAGGCACTGCAGCTGATCACTTCATACAAGTTAGTGGATTTGTCTAAATACTTAGTTCATGTTGTCATTATCTCTATCTTGATATTTCTAACATGACCAAATTTCTTTGCATGTGTTTTGGAATATTAATTTACCTAGTGGTGGAAAAGATTTACTAAACTAAATCAAGCTTGGTCTAGATTGCTTAAAATGCCCTATCCTAGCAGGGTTTTCTGAGCATGAATGAGTAATTTCGAGTGTTTGGGCTGGAAAGGCTTTCTAAATAATGTTTTTGTATTAGAAAGTTTCTTATTATTCAGTTTCCTTTAATTTAGTAATTTGGATGCTGCTTGGATGTAGAATAGTTGCTCTTGTAGTTCTAATGTGATAAGGGAGGAAATTCTACCATATCTTATTTTATTTGTCTTAAACTCATCATGCATCCATTCATAATCATTTTAGAGTATGTTCTCTTTCAACCTTCTTGATCTATGGTTATTTTGTGCCAGGTTAAGCTTGTAAAATGCCTCGTGCAGAATATTGTTGTCGATATTTCCTTTAATCAAATTGGTGGGTTGTGTACCTTATGCTTTCTTGAGCAGGTAAATTCAATCCTGAAGTAATTTGAGATGTTGAAAAACAATTATCGTATGCGCATCTTTATCAAATCTGATTTTTTTTTTCTTTTTGTTTTTGGAAGTTGAATTTTTTTTCCCCATATTCTAATACCGTAAAACATCAAACAAGTGTGTCATGAGGTGATATTGTTACTATACATTGAGGTTGGTTTTCTGTGATGCATGGCTATTTTGTATAGATTGTGACTTTTATGTGATGAAATAAAGACTTGGGCTCTATATCTCGATTCTTGAAATTTTGTTATTTAGTAAAATGTGTTTTCTCATTTGTTCCTGTTATTGTTGGTCTGTCCCTCATGCACCAACTCATTTCTATGTAAATTTCTTAGTACTTTATGTTGCCATTATATTCTTGTTTAATCATGATCCTTTGATTCCTTGAAGGATCAAGAATTATCTTTCAGGTTATGTTATGATGTTAGATTTTATACTTCTGTCATTAATTATATACATGAAGGTGGAACCATACGTTTTTATGTGACATTTGAATTCTACTTATATTTCAGGTCGATCGCCTCATTGGCAAAAATCATCTGTTTAAACGCAGTATCATACTGATCAAGGCATGGTGCTATTACGAGAGTCGGATTCTTGGCGCTCATCACGGCTTAATATCTACATATGCTTTGGAGACATTGGTCTTGTACATCTTCCATCTTTTTCACACAACGTTAGATGGTCCTTTAGCAGTGAGTGCTTTAAGTATAATTGTTTTTTCCCTAAATATGAATTTAAAAAATTAACCTAATAATTTTAATTTCTGATTTTAGGTCCTATATAAATTTTTGGACTACTTCAGCAAATTTGACTGGGAGATGTATTGCGTTAGTTTGAATGGACCAGTTCGAATTTCCTCATTGCCAACCATTGTGGGTGAGAACCATATACTAGAATAGGGTCCACATTATTTCAGTCTGTTTGTCTCTGAATTACGAGCTAGATTCTTATAACTTACTCTTCTTGTCTCAATTGCAGCTGAAACGCCTGAAGATGGTAGTGGTGATTTACTACTTACCGATGATTACTTAAGATCTTGCATGGAAATCTTCTCCGTTCCTTTGAGATATGCTGACCAAAAATCCCGTGGATTTCAACAAAAACATCTCAACATTGTTGATCCACTAAAAGAGGTCAATAATCTTGGCAGGAGTATCAGCAAAGGTAGAATCCCATTGTTATTCAACTTGAATGGAGCTCGTGGCTTTCCATATTGATCAAAGCAGTTACACGTGATCATATTTTTTGTTGCAAAATGTAAACGTTCACTAGATTTTGCATGCTTCTTTTCTTTGCATTATGAAGTTTTTTGAGTGTGGCATCTTCCCCCAGCACATTAACTAGTAGCAATTGCCAGATGACTACTCTTCATTTTTGTCAAGAAATTAGCTCAATTATTACTTGCTTGTTCTGTATAGGAAATTTTTACCGGATACGCAGTGCTTTCTCTTATGGTGCTAAAAAACTCGGGCGAATACTCATGCAGCCAGAAGATCATATTGCTAATGAGCTTCAAATATTTTTTTCGAGCACTATGCAGAGACATGGACGCGTACAGAAGCCAGTTGTTCAAGATCCCTACCCACAATTAACTTACAATGGTTTCATTCCTGTGTCATCTAGTTTAGGGACAGAGTCATATAAAGGTGAAAACTCTGCCGATGCTGCGGACCATCGTTTCTTTGGAGATGCAGATGACCTTGCTACCCCAAGCATTGAATGCCTAAATATTTCTAGTGATTCACCCAAGTTTTACAACCAAGTTCTCAAAGAGAGTGTCAATGCAATTGGTATGCCTCAAGATTCAGATCATGCGAGTTTGCATCAGGGCACAAGGAGATGGAGTGCAATTCCGGAATCTTCAAACTCCTTGTCAGATCTCAGTGGGGATTATGACAGTCACTTCATAAGTTTGCAGTATGGTCGGTGGTTTTATGAGTGCACCTTTGGTATGCCTTCTTTGCCGATGGTTCCTATGTCACCCCCTCAATATGAGAACAAGAGCCCATGGGATGGTGTCCTATATCCATCACAGCTGGGGCATAATGGTTTTTCCCAGGGACATCCCAATGGCTTCATGCCAATGTATCCCACGAGCCATTTATTAGTACCCGGTGCGGCCTTCAGCAGGGAAGAAATGCCCAAACACCGAGGAACTGGAACTTATTTTCCCAAAATGGTATACTACTAATATTATCCCTATACAAGTGGTCTTTTGAATTTTATGTTTCTTACTTGGAAATAATTGCTTGATTTGGTATGACACTCTTTATTTCTGGGTTTTGTTGTAGAATCGATCCCCACAAGGGTATAGGCCTTCTGCTGTGAAAGGAAAGAATCAGGCACCCTTGCGTTCCCCGCGTGATAATGGGCAGAATGTGATATTTACTGAGACAAATTTGCTAGAGAGAAACAGCCACGAACAGTCGCAACCTCAAGTCCTACCTGACCAAAGCATCAATCCCCTGTCATCTGGGATCCACCACTCATTTTCCCCTCGTGGAAGTGGGCCAACACCATCTGGAACATTTTTCTCAGAATTAAACAGGCAACAAAGATCAGCCCCATCTTCACCTCAAATTTCTAGTCCAGATTCCCCGGGTATGCAAAGGCCGAAACCTCCATTGAGCAGGGACCCGGATAGGTAAAAGAGTCGCGGGATAAATAATTTTGATAACCATCTTGGGAAACTGATATTTTGCTAATCATCTGTTTGAGCTTGTTTCATGCTCTGAACATGTAGGGGGTCATTTAAATCATCATACCATCTCAAAGATCAGAAAGATTTCCCGCCACTGCCTGTCTGAAGATGCTCCATTTTTGTAGTCACTGTAAGAGTGAACGTGCCAGTACAAGCCCAGGCTTTCTGCCCCTGAGGCTTCTTTCCGCCTCGTGGAAGACACAAAAAGGTCATGTACTTTTTCCTTAATGATGAGTTTTGAAGGTTTATTTATCTTTATATTTACAAATTTGACAATAGAGACTCTGATTCTGCAGTCTTTGTATAGGATGTTATGATTCCATTTCCATTTGGTTTTCACCTTTATGGTGTGGTTTAATCATGAACCAGTAGTATGTTGTTGAAAATGTAAAATTTAGCTTTAATTATACATAGAAAGATTAGACGTGTGTGTATTTTGCTTGGTGGTGAAGTATTATTTATAAAATTAGTTTGCATTTTTCTGACTGCAAGAAGGCCTATTAATGCAGAAATACTACAAATACAATTGACGGTTGTGTTTCGATTGTAGGAAATGTGAATCAACCTGTCCCTCTTAGCTTTCCGTCTGCATATACACACAGCTTATTTGCAAAGAAAACAGGAAAAACAAGTTGTAACTAGCGATGGCAATGGGCCGGGCCGAGTCGAGCCAGCTCGGCCCTTTAACCCACGAGCTCGTCTCGGGCTCGTGGCGAGCCAAGCTCGTGGCTCGTGGAAGACGAGCCGAGCTCGGCTCGGCCCACGGGCTGAGCTGAGCCGATCTCACGAGCGGCTCGTGAGCTCGTGATTTTTTTAATTTTTTTTTTTTTGCACGTTTTGGACTTTTTTTGTAAAAAAATTAAAAACTTTTAACTAGCCCACGAGCTGATCAAAATGGCTCGTGGGCTCGACGAGCCGAGCCCTGCTTGGCTCGGGCTCTGGCTCGCCATTTGACGAGCTCGAGCCGGGTTTTGACGAGCCAGGCGGTCGAGCCAACGAGTCGCTCGGCCCGTTTGACATCCCTAGTTGTAACGTGCCAAAGGAATTAATTGTTTCAATGGTCACTGAACTTAGGCTCATGTCTTTGATTGGTCATTGAAATTTAAAATGTCGAGTTTTGATCACTGAACTTTTGTTCATGTCTTCGATTGCTCACAAAGGTTTAAAATGTCGAGTTTTGGCCATTAAATTTTAAAAAATGTTGTACGTTATTTATTAGTATAAATGTTAAATTTTAAAAAATATCGAATTTACTGTAAGTAATGTACAATATTTTTTAAAGTTTAGTGGCTAAAACTCGACATTTTAAACTTTAATGAGCAATCGAAGACATGAACCTCAGTTCAGTAACCAAAAATCGACATTTTAAATTTCAGTAATCAATCAAAGACATAGACCTAAATTCAATAACCATTGGAACAATTAACTCTATGCCAAAGTGTCAAAAAATGTCTTGGCATCTTCCTATTTGCTAGTAAGAGGTGATATGACGAGTGGAGGGTAAAAAAATTTGGGCTCGTGAAGATGTTGATATAGGTTGTGTCACCATATTTTTTTAAGATAGGGCTAACATTTTCCACTTGGATCAGTTTTAAGTAACAAAGATGGCGTTTCCAAAAATATACAATGATTGATAAAAGTAGAGTTCCAAGTGTTACACAATGGTTAAAAATTTTTAGTTGCCATAAAAAGCGATATTACTGCTACTCTTACAAAAGGAAAAGTCGGAAAATGTATCACCAAAATTGTACAATTCTTAACTTTCGATTATACTAACATATGCATAGCCTTCACGGATGTACACAAAAGACTTAATTTTGACAGGAAACATGATTGCACTTGACAGTGCTAAATTGGTGTTGAAAGCGATGTATATATTTGAATTGTCAGAATCAAGATCCCCCACAAATCTAATGACAAAACACGCACAATATTTTTCACTTTATAATGGCCACAATTATTTTTCACTTTATAATAGCCACAATTCCACTCCCTAGTGTCTTTTTGGGAAATATTTGTATTTTGATCTTAAAAGATTGGATTTTCAAATCAATCTAATCCCAATTAATTATTCATTTGTCGTGCATGCATTCACTCACTCAATACTCTTTATTCGATGACATCAATACTCTCGACTCGACAAGACATGACAATCAGTTAACATTTCATTTATCGTCCAATTCTTAATCTACTGCCAACTTTTATCATCTATGAAGATTCATATATACCTTCAAATATTGACTTGACCGTAAACAACGTCGAACTTTTCAAATACCCACATATTCGATTATCTACTCATGCCACATACTGCATTCTTTGCCAAAATTTATAAATCATTTCGTAAATTTTCAATCTTCATTTTAAATCATACATTCTAATAGACTCACAAGTATTGTTCACTCATCCAACTATGCTAAAACGGGTTCGGTCCAACTTCTGACTACAGAGATGGAAGGTTGTGATCAATGCAAAACTTGCATTGTCAATCACTGTTGAAGAGGAAGGAAGAACAAAATCATGAGAAAGAAAAGAACAAAAGGGTACCTAATACAAAGACGTGCACATGGGGAATACTATATTCTTATTACAAAGTCGTAATAATGTTTTATACTGCACTCGTGTGCCAAGTCTTTTTTGCATGAATCCTTCGAGATTCTTGTCTTTTGTACTATTCTCAACTGCAAATGTTCTGTTTTCTTCACCATTTTCAATTAGTCAAAACGATTAACCGTTCTTGGATGCATTTAGAAGTTACTTTCTAAAAAAAATTCCATTTCTACATGACAAAGTAACTTTTTAAGCACATTAAATGATGCAATTCCTTCTCAAAAAAAAAAAAAAAAAAAAAAAAAAAGAGGAAGTTTGAACCCCACCTTGAGGGCCCCCACTGTCCCACCCCTAGAACTTTGTGAGGGAGGTAAATCGCGAGATGTGTCCCAACAGGTGAGGGAACAAGAGATGCCTGTATACTGCGCCTACAAGGAGTCCAATTCCTTGTTTCAAGAATCGAACTCTCACACTGCGGTTGCTAGCAAGGCGTGAAATAACCTCACTCCTGTTCCTTCTCGTTAATATTCAAGATTGAACATTTGCCTCTTACATCCTTCAAAGTGATATTTTGTACTTGACTCTACAAGGATCGAAGATGAAATGTTACTGCTAATCATAAATTAACTTGATTGGGACATGGAGATTAAATAATTACATGTACAAGAAATGGGGGTGGTATAGCATGTGCAAAAATGGAAAAGAGAAAATAATTTAAATTTTAAAAGGTTTTAATGTTGAAAACGAGAATGTTAAAATATGATTTAATAACCATAACAAACATAATAGAAATTACTTGAATTCTTTTCCGCTCCTTAGTAGTCGAACGGACAAATATTTCCGGTCGTGGTGGATGGACCCAGATAGGACAAACAGAGCAATTGGGATTACAGGATAAGCCACTTTCAACAATTATTGGATGGGACCTATAACTCTGATAATTGTGAAAAATACCCGTGTGGAGAAAGTCTTTTTTTGACTAATAGATCTTTCTTGTGGCCAAAATTTAGCAAAAAAAAAAAAAAAATGGTCCGACCTTGCGGCTCACCGACACTTATATCCCTCTCATATGAAGGGGAGCCCACACACAATAAAATATTTGTGGATCTCCTTCCATGTGAGAGGAATATAATGCATTGTATATATCATGGGGTGTGCACATAGGATTTCCCTATCATTTATATGAGAAAGATATGGAATAAATTTTCCAAAATTATAATAAATTTAAATGGAAAAATTTCGAAATAATAAATGTAGTTATATTGATGCTACAATTTTTATGTTAATTTCCAATTGGAATAATAATTATAGTTATATTGATAGAAAAATCTCGGAATAACAAATGTCTATATTGAGGCTACAATTTTTATGCTAATTTTCAATTGGAATAATTAGTTATATTGATTTCCAATGGGAATAATAAGTGTACTTATAATTATGTTTTCAGCTGTTTCTCGTCATATTCTTATATTCAACATTATATTAATCAGCACAACTAATACTTGATAATGGTTTCGTCCAAATATATGTGAAAGGCAATGAAAAACTTATTTGACGTTTAAACAAGTAAAAAGAAAACTAAAAATAGCAAAATGCGACAATTGAGTTTCCTCATTTCAAGGCATGCCAACAAAATAATTTGATAGAAGTCATAAAAGTGGACGGTTTGCGCTTATTAATGAAAGATTAGGGATGATAATGCAACCCATATCTCTATTTCATAAATGTTGCTGTACTGGAGAATTCATTAAGCTCTGTTTGGCTCCCATTATTTGAAATTATAATTTTTAGAATAATATTTTTTGGAGAATGTGTAGTTGAAAAAGAATTAAAAAAAATTGATTTTTGTGTAATATTATTTGTTGAAAAATTGTGTGATTGAAAATAAGATAGAGAAGAATAATTTTTTTGAATAATAAGGGACCAATACAAGATACTTAACATAACCTCCGTCGTACGAAATAATGAAAATTCAAAAACATAACAATTCAAATAGAGGGACTTAATGAGAAAAAAAATTATTTCCTTAAAAATATTCTGTGCAATCGAGTCCTGTTTCAAACATGCAATTAATGCATGTCACATAATTGTACAAATTTAGGTCATGCATGGTACAAAATTAAATACTTTTTAAAAATTGTAATAAAATGTGCACATTTTAGATTTGTTTTTGAAAACAGTGGTTATCATTGTAAAGTGAGTGAAATGGTCCCGCAGAGTCTGCAGATAGTTATGTCCATAGAATGTCTGAATGACTGAATCCAATCTTCTAAATGTATTTCAGACTTGAGAATGTATACCCGTATTCTCTAGGCACATTGTTCTGCAATAATATGTAGTTGTTAAACAACAACCAAATAAAATACTCTTGTTTGGTATTAACAAAATATATTTGATATTGTTCAGTTCTGTACAGGACATGACTTTTAAGTAAAAGTCATTCGACTAAGATCAATTGCCCTCATTTTGAAATGAGACATAATTGGTGTGGCATATGTTATACGCCCTCATTTTGATATACCCTTCCATATTTCCACAATATTAACTGGATTAAAGAAAAATCGTCTGTCATTCGGTAGATAATATAGATTTCATTTTGGGTTAAAAAAATGATTGACACATATCTGGCTAAGAAAAAGAACGTAAAATTACTTTTAAGTAAATTTTTTATTCTACATGTATGTCGGATATGTTACTTGCATTCTTATATATGAAAAAGAAATTTTAATTATTTTGATGGGAAAGTGAGAGTTAGTTTTAAAATATATAAAATTTCTATTCTAATTTTGACAAGAAAAAACTGACCAAAATATCATTATTTACTTAAAAGGAAAATCACTATAGCCAAACATTCACTAAATAATTTTGATATTACACTAGCATTTCTAATTACTCATGACACAACCTTCAGCCTTTTAATCTTAACTTTATATATATATATATA